GCAACAAAAGAAGGAGAGTGGGAGAATGAGAAGTGGAATGAGACTGTCTCCTTCTCTGGGCAGGACTTGAATGTCATGCCAAGAAAATGTTCTTCACTTGTTGGCAACTTGGTTTTGAAGTTGACAGAGAACTGTTTGTCAAATGTTTTGTAAAACGCACTGCAAGAAGTCTTGTTTCCTTTACTCCTGTTTGGTAGTAATCGTTGAGAAAAAAGTTACTAGTACTTTCATTTACAAAGGACCAATTTAGTAGTAGATTGACATGCATAACCGCGCATATTGAACAATGATATGGGATTTTTTGCAGAGAGGACGTTGCCAGCCGGGAGTTCATTCACATCTGGTCATGCTCCAGAAACAGTAGGACTGGGAGATGGTGTAACACGCGAGGAGATTGAAGCAGTAAGCACCAGTCTGCTTAGTTAGCTATATTTTTTACTCTGTCTACTCTTCTCTTCTCTATCTACTGGGCGGTGGTCTCGTGGTTTGTACACTTGAGGAGCGATCAAGCGGTCTGAGTTTGAGCCCTCACCGGGGACATTGTGTTGTGTTCTTGGGCAACACACTTTACTCTCACAGTTCCTCTCCACCCAGGAGGAGTGTATAAATGAGTACCAGCGAATTTAATGTTGAGGGTAACCCTGCGATGGACTAGCATCCCATCCAGGGGGGCAGTAGAAATGCTCCTGGTAAAAATACTCCTCGTTGTTCCATGCTACAAAAACCGGAAATAAGTGCCAGTCTAAATGAGCTACTAGCCTCAAACACAGACATAACTACTATGCATCGTTTGTCCTCAGGTAGTAATTCTTGCTTTTAGCTTATGCTCCTTAATTTGGCAGCTCTGTCCAGAAAAAAAAAAGACAAATAGGCACTTTCTAATTTATACATCCCTATGCAATTGGGTTAAGGAAAAACGTTTTCATCTTGTCTGTATTGTTGTTGTTTTGAATGTAGTTTGTTTCTGTTGCAGCTTAAAAGAGAGACAATTGGTGTCTTAACTGAGACCGTTTTGAAGAAACTTGTTGAAATAGAACAGGTGCGTATATATGCATGATAACCCTTCATTTGTTTTTATTAATTTTTTTAGCTGGTACATCGCAGTGATGAAACAAAGCAAGTTTCATAGTCTAGTTCTACTTCAATGTTTAAGTAATCACTTGGGAAGAAATCCACAAGCTTAGCAGCTCTAGGCCAGAAACAAAACAAGAATTATGCACTAAACCTCAGCTGTCCCTAACATTTAACTTAATTCAATTCTTAACTGCACAGTATAACAGTAATATTACTTTCCTTTCAGATATCTGTTTGGTTTTATTTTCAGGCGCATGGTAAAGGGCGGACACGTGTTGGCTTTATTCAAGTCCTTGTTCGGCGCATCAAACGGCTTCTGACCATCCATGGGGCGCCTGCACGCAACGAGATGACCAGCGGATTGCGCTGAGAAGCGGCTTCTGGTCTCGATCCAGAGGCAAAAGAATACTATTTTTCGGAATTTTCCATGCACTGCATCGATCTGCAGGCTGTGCTGGTGTTCTGTTAAGCAACGAACAAGAGCTGTTTGTGTCAGCATTGATTTGGTGATAATCTGTTGGGGACTGACTGTGTTTGTGGTCATTGGGTTACCTAGTAATGTGACAGATTTTAACAGTGACAAGAAGCGTGGAAAGATGATGTGACGTTGCCATTTTGACACTGACTACTGGAAATACCCAAAACATGGCACATCCTCTAGAGCCTTTACGAACAAATATAGAAGAGTGCTTAGCTTCTGTGGTTATCTTCCAAAATCTGTTTTCTTACAGCCACATCTGTTTTCTTACAGAAAATAGACACAAATAATTGTGAGATACCGTAATGCAAGGAAGTAACCTCATTGCAACGTAATGCTCATTGTAACGCTTGTTTCTATGTACATAGCTGAAAGCCCACTGTAGTTGTGTCACCTAAACACTGTTTGTTAAACAAGAAGTAAAAGTTTTTCAGGCCAAGAAAAAGGGGATTGTCATGTTTCTGTGTTTTTGCTAAGACTTTATTTTTCAAAAAGGGTGGTAACAGTTGGGCCAGGCTGGGTGGGTTCCATGTGAAACTTCGTGCTATCAAATTACTGTAGATCGCTTCCCTCTGTCTAGGTCCGACCCCAGACCCCTAATAATGACGACATGAATAGTTGTCAAAAATTATAACTGTTACTTTTTATAATGTATGTTGTCCAGGAGACGGAGCGTTAAGAGTAAAAAATTCTGTTTGTATTACATTTTTCATCAGGTCGAGTGGCTAGTTTAAAAGCAACACAACACTTGGGTACTGTTTATACTGAAATTGCAGTCAGGGATGGACATCACTATAGAATATACATCGGATCCGAAATTGTGTTGGGCACTGACCCTATTGAAACGTGAAAACAAGGTTTTAGTAACTCATAGAAAGACCATTGCCGAAATTGGTGAGTCGAAACGTCTTTCTATGAATTACTAAAACCTTGTTTTAATGCCTTGATGGGGTCCGTGTCAAACAAGGCTCGTGATCGCCTTTTTAAAGAGACTTTTTGATCGAGGCCTGGTATTCCCAGAGAGATCAAAATGCAGCGAACAAAAATATCAACGATGTGAAGTGTATATGAAATAATTCATATTTGAACTGCGGTAGTAGATGAAAGTGAAGAATAATCATCGCAGTAAATTTTAAGCAATTGGAAAGAAGAAGCCTGAGAAAAAAAATCAGGGCTTCAACGGGACTCGAACCCGTGACCTCCGCGAATACCGGTGCGACGCTCTCTACCAACTGAGCTATGAAGCCACACATTGGGAGCGAGGTCAATTAAGTGAGTTCATATCTTCCCGTGGGGAGTGAAATGATGTGAAGTATATGTGAAATAATTCATATCAACCTCATTCCCAGGGTCAATCATATTATCGCCCCCTGGAGCAAGCGATGAGAGACCCTAGTTGGGTCTGGTCACGTGCCACTTTGACAATTGAGAACATCAAGAAGGGGTCCTCTGTAATCAGCAATATGTCGCGTTGAGCTTTCCTGGTCGCACTAGAGCCAATTTTGTTTGTATAAGTAATAAATCTGTCAACAAGTAGCGTAAAATAAGTGCGACCCCCAGTTTCAAAAACTTGCCAAATTTTTGCGGATTGCCAAAATTTCGTCAATCTTCAAAGAAGCTTAAGTGCTGCCTTGGAGGCTCCATAGTCTCGAGACTGACAGATTGCCATTATTATTATTATTATTGTAATTTCATGTAGTCCCAGACTGATATTTTTATTGTTGTTCTCTCGTTGCAATGGACAATTTGGATGCATTGACTGACATAATTATTCTGCAATCTTGGAATGTTTATTAGTTTACACACTATTTTAAGTAATATCACATGATTATGTAGCAAAATAAATGTGTACTGCAAATTAAACGAAACAGGAGATCTTTAAAACAAATCTTACCAAAAAATTTGGGTCATTTTCACCACACCTCGCTTTTGTGGACTCTTGAGAGTTGATTAACTATAATTAAAAAAAGAAAAAAAAAGAAAAAAAAAGACTGTATCTCTTAATATAAATTTATAAAGCGCTTCCTAATCTCTCACAGTTGTGTAAAGTGGAATAAAATACGCCAAACTATGAAATTTCAACATCGTCTTCGTAAAGTTCTTGAGACTACGTGACATAAAAGTATGGTCACGCGATACGCAGTCACGGCATTGTCTCAGCCATAATAAATGTAACATACAATGGCCACAAGGATCACAATCAGCGAACATATGCCCAAGAGAGCAAGCATAAATTCTCGTTTTATTTGACGGCCAGCTCTTGTTGCCTCCAAAGGCATGTTAGCAACTTCACCTTTGATGTTTTCATGTGGAAACGGGACGTTTGGAATTTCACATTCCAAGAAATCACACAACGGTTTCCATCCTTGTTCGATGTTGTACACCAATAGTTTTTCACGGGGAACAACATACTTGACACGCTCATTGTGACTTTGGAATCGCTTCCTGAATACGTACGTTGCCTTGGGGTCATGAGATCCGAACATTGCATCCGTGAACGCGAGCAGCACGAAAAACAGTTTCTTTAGGGTTGGTGATAGGAGTACCAGTGGTTTCAGAGCAAATGTTGCCGTGTTAAAGACTTTAATTTGATTCACAAGGCTTTCCACCCAAGAGTTTTCATCCCGTTCGCTCAGGATCACCTTGCAGTCGGGAAATGCTTCCAAGATTTCCTCAAAGAAAAATGTACCCGGCATGTCGACGACTGCATCAGCATTCTCGTACACACGCTTCGCATCAGGCTTGGCACCGTTTTGAAAAACGCCGACCCAGTGATCCAGGAAATCAAAGGTCTGCTCTTCCCAGTTGAAGACCTTTAAACCGAGAACCTGTAAAGCTTTAGAGATCGATTTTGTGCCTGTTTTCGCTGGTCCAGCACAAATTACCTTCATTATTCTGGTCAGAATGCCCGATACTGGTGGTGCTCGGGATGAAGAAGAGGAAGGTCACTTCCGTTTACCGAAATCGAAAGCAGTTATTTTTGCTCGTGACGCGTGTTAAACCTTTTATCCCATGTGACGTCACGCCAGAACTGGCATGCAAAAAACAACAGAACTCAGATGATCACTGTAAAACAGACCTAAAGCAGGCACGGCCAGGCTTCACAATCACGACTGGGAAGTAAAGGCCGGTTTCTAAATCAGCTAACTGAGTATGGCGCTCAACGGGCAATCACTGGTAGTTAAACCCAAATTTACGCAATTTTCGCGATTTCTTCTAAATCATGAAAATTTGATGTCCCGAAAACAAGTGGCTTACTTTCTAGAATAAAGCACATTCCCTTCGTAACTTTAGAGGTTCCAGTGCTAAACCAAAGCACCCGCGCGTGAAAGCTCACCAGCTATACAGGCTAATGATGACCGTATTACTTGCCCCCCTCCAGAGGCTGGAGAAAGAGAAGCGTGAAGTCCGGGGATGGCAGAAGAGTGACGGGTAGTGTCTTCGTTTTTGCTGCCGAAACAAAGTAATCCCGTCAGATTCGCTTAGAGCAAAGTTGAACGTGCAACTTGCAACAGGGAGGTTATACGAACAAAAACGCTCCTCACGGCACGCAGGTCGAATGTAGCAGTTCCGCACTTAGCCGCAAGTTGGAGTTTATGATACCTCGTGCACAGTACATGAAGAAAAGTTACTGGTGCCTACCAACCGCGTTATACACCCCTTTCCTGCCGCGGGCGCAATCCGTTGCTCGGAATGTTTTTTTGTCCACATCTGTTGATTTGTTCTTGAAGTTTTGTTAATCATTTTTGCAACCTTTACGTCAAAGGAAATCCTCCTTAAAGTGAATCGTTGAATATTAGCTTCAGCTTTGAGAAACAGCTGTAGTAAACATCAGTAATTTTGAGGGAAATGGAGGCAGGTTATTGTGGCGGGAAATGCTCTTTACCTGAGGTAAACTTCATAATTTCCTAAGTGCTTGCCTCTTAGGTAAAAGATTATTCCTCATATACATCAGCTTAGGCGAAGAAAGAAATATGAAGTTTTAGTGATCATTAGAGGTGGACTAAGTAAAGTTAAACCACTTTATGGTTAGAAATCTGTGCCCTTTCATTTTGTTAATTGTAAGCTTAAGTTTGAAGATATCTTGTTGGCTTCTGATATCTGAATTAAATGCCAATTCCAATCAAGGAATGCTGAAGATTTTGAACCATCTTGTCTATTGACTGATGGAATACTGTTATACAGTACTTGTGTGTAGATGTGCTACTGTTACAATGAGCTTCTGGCAAAGCAATTCCCAGCCAGATCTGTCAGTCACTGGCACATCCACCTCACGTCATCAGAGGCCACCAAGTGGTCGCCGTGTTCGACCTAGCAGTGCTGGGAGAGGAGGAAGCACCAAATCTCACATATTTGGCGTTTCGGATACCCCCAGACAGGATACCCCAAAACAAAAGACCGGAAACAGTTTCCATGATAACAGCGCTGCATCAAGCACAGTCCACACAACTCCTGAGGCTCCTCGTCCTTTAACTGGGAACCAACCTAAGAAGACTACTGGACCTGTTTCTATGTATAACGTAAGGAGACCAATAAATATTAATAGATAGAGAGAACAGTTTTCAGTTGAATAGCCAGGAACTGAAATCAAAGCAATTAGAATGTCCAGTCACGATAGAGTGGTTTTCAATTCAGTGTCATAAAACCAAAACCAAACCAGGTACATGTACTTTCCAATTACACTTCTCAGCCAATCTCAAAACATGGTAAAACCAAAACCAAACCAAAGATATTGTCAGATTACTTTAGACATGCTCAGATGAGATGTCCATTTGGAGAATATCTCAGGGCTCGGAAAATGTGCTGTCTGGTCGTCAGGGACAAGTAGACTTTCCTGCTGGGCAAGTTACTTTTCATTTTGTTTGTGCAAATTGGAGTCTAATTGATGTAGTTATTATCACTTTATGCAGGCATCGGTGATCACAAAATCTCAGTTAGATGCTGCCAAGAGTTTAGCCAAGGTCAGTTGTCGAAGATTAGTCTAACAGTCTTCAGGAGCTCCTGTTCTTGTCTTTTTGCTGTGTTTTTCAATTTCATTTGAAAAACATTTCCTGACCTTATTAACTGAGCAATATGTACCTTTGATAAACAACTTTTACTCACATAAAAGCTTTCAAGATTCCTGCTCATTGGCAGACACAAAATAACCAACTGATTGTTTTCTCGGTGGGTAGGGAGGGTGTTGCTTCTTACGCATTCTTCTTAGCCATTTCAATTGGAAGTTTGACAGTATGAAAATGTTACATAACAATTGTTAATATTGTAAATCTGACTGGAGCTGATACGGGCCAGGGACCAGAAATCATTTATTAGAAAACAGTCCTAAAAAAATATGCNGCTATGTCACTGTTTATGCATCTTAAAAAGTTCAGATGCTCTCAAATGCAGTTTAACAAAGTTAACAACAAAGAGTAGCTGGTACTTCTGGTCAGCGGTATTTGTATGGTATTGAAGGCTTGGTGTACTTTCCAGCGTGGCAGTCCCAGGAGTATTTTGGACATAGGATTGAGCAGTTTTCTGCACACTATTTGTCAAATCCGTTGTTTGGAATCTATGTTCATCTTCTCCATCCTTAACCATCCTGGCTTGTTCTTTTATGGTTTATTATTATCTCTTTGTTGCTTTTCTATCTTTTAGTTAGTAAACTATTATTTACAGGTTTTCTTCCATTAAAAAGTATTTTTTTAGGAGGCCAAAATAACTCAAAATAATGTGACTGAGCTCCTTTAACTTCTAAAGTGGAGAATCAAAGTGAAAGTCTTCCTTAGAACTTACATTATTTAGTATATACCACACAAGTGAATAGTGCTTTTTGCGAGCTCTGATTGGTTAACACAGAGGTGATTAGCAAGTACTATTCACAACCAAGCAGCCAGTGCGAGAGATTTAAAAAATTCCGACCGCTTGTCACACATTAAAAAAAGCCTTTTTGTCCGCTAATTATTCAGCTTGTGTGGTATAGACTAAAACAATTATTCACCTCAGTGTAGGTGAAAGTGATGGATATTTACCTCCACTTCGGTGAATAATTGTTAAATATCAAATTTTTGAACAGGGAAAAGTGTTGATTTTTCTGTGTAATCTGATTCAACTTTAGGGTTCCACAGTTGGACCTGGGAAACCTTGCAGATGACAACAATCAGGTATTGTATTAAGTTTTAATTGTTTTAAACTGGGAAAGGAAATTATTGAGAGTTGCATACATATAGTATTATAATTATTATATTCTGATTGATCAAGAAAGTGAATGAAGCTAATACTGTACAACTATAATCCCCAAGGTATTTATTAATAACTGTAATTAGTATAATTTCCAGAGGTGAATATAAGAATTGGACATTCTGATTGGTCAAAAAGCTCATCATATGACGCTATATTCACCCTGCTCGAGCTTGGTTACAAAGCTTGCTATCTTTGCCATCTCGGCAAGTAAACATGACGAACAGTTGCTGAATTAAGTTTTCATTTATTTGAAAGACATCACTCCAAGTCCAGGATATTTGAAAGAATGAAAAATTTTCAAAATGACTCCTGTCACCCTTGGACCAAAAATCTTTTCAAGAACTCGTATTCATAGTCTCCTCCGCAGCCGTTTTTTGGGATGTCACGCAGCGCTCCCCCCAAAGAAACGGCTGCTCACATCCGAACAACATTCTTTTCCTTTTGTGTATGTGGTTTGTTTGCCCTCTGTTGAACAGACCAATTACATAATAGCAAAGTGTGAATGACGCAAGCTTTCGCGCAAAAAGGTCTGCGGTGCGAACACGCAAGGGATTTCTGGCTTTTGTTTCACGCCGCACGTCGCCAAAAATAGGCGGTGTTCGCAGGTTACGATCATAACGGACTCAAAAAAATGTAAATGAAAGCCCTAAGCACAAGTGCTTCATGTGCTCATCACTATGTTCAGGAAATGAGAGAATATATTTTTTTCTGGAAATGTCATATTGTAAGCGTCATTCAAGGGCTCAACGCTTCCTACAGATTGTAATCAGGAGGAAAAAGCGGCTTTCAGACTGCTCGCTCTCAACAAATCGAGTGAAGCTACTTGATTTCCTGGTTCCTTTATTAAGTTGAACTAGACATCGTCCTTCTCGACAATAATTTTTTGAGTTGAAAGCTTCTATTAATTAGCTTAAACTTTGAAGAGTCTTCAGCTACACAGAAAGCTCTTTCAAGCGTCGCTGGTACTTTTCAGCGTCCATAAACAAAAGCCGGAAATCTGTAAGTTTATCTGTGACATCTTCCACGACGGGATACAAAGATAAAAAACATTCTCTGATTGGACAAGTTTCAAAGGGCGAATTTGGCGCGAAAACGTTCTTGAAAATGGAACGGAAGCGGT